TCCCAAAACAAGCTTTCTGGTTCGATACCTCAAGAAGTAGGAATGCTTAGGTCTCTTAGTGAACTTAGTTTGTCACTTAACAATCTTTCAGGTCCAATTCCTACTTCTATAGGAAATTTGAAAAATTTGTCTATCCTTCTTCTTTGGGAAAACAAGCTTTCTGGTTCAATACCTCAAGAAGTAGGAATGCTTAGGTCTCTTAGTGAACTTAGTTTATCAAGTAACAATCTTTCAGGTCTAATTCCTACTTCTATAGGAAATTTGAAAATTTTGTCTATCCTTTATCTTTTCCAAAACAATCTTTCAGGTCCAATTCCTACTTCTATAGGTAACTTGACACGTCTTAGAGAGTTGAATCTTTTGGAGAATAATTTGTCAGGTTTGATTCCTATAGAAATAAATAATCTCACTCTTTTAGAAAATTTACAATTAGGTGATAACAAACTCAGTGGGCATGTACCGGAGAAACTGTGCCTTGGGGGACTTCTCCAAAACTTTTCAATAATAAACAACCATTTGACAGGTCCAATTCCAAGAAGTATGAGAAATTGCACTAGCTTAGTTAGACTGCGACTTGATGGAAACCAACTTACAGGTAACATTAGTGAACAATTTGGAGTTTACCCCAACTTGAATTTCATTGATTTAAGCCATAACAATCTGTATGGTGAGCTTTCTCCTAAGTGGGGGCAATGTCATAATTTAACAAGCTTCCAGATCTCTCACAACAACATAACTGGAAGGATACCTGTTGAGCTAGCACAGGCTACTCGGTTACAACGACTTGATCTTTCTTCAAATCGTTTCAGTGGTGAGATTCCACAAGAGTTGGGAAGGCTGACATCCTTGAGCATTCTCATACTGAATGATAACCAACTTTCTGGAAAAATTCCATCCAATATTAGAAGCCTGTCATCTTTGGAACAACTTAACTTGGCAGAAAATGATATTAGTGGACCAATTCCTACAACAATTGGGGAGTGCTCAAAGTTACGGGACTTGAACTTGAGCAATAATAAGATTGGGGAAAATATTCCATTTGAAATTAGCACAATAAAAAATATCAGAAATCTTGATTTGAGCCAGAACCTGCTCACAGGAAAGATTCCCTCCGAGCTTGGGGAACTACAATATTTAGAAGTTTTGAATCTTTCTCACAA